CTTACACCCCTCCTCCTGGGAAGAGCTGAGAAGAAAAAAAAAAAAGAAAATCAGCTGTTGCCACCAACTAATTAAACAACATGTGCACAAACTTTCTTAAGACACAGAAATCCAGTCCTGTTCTTAAAAAAGGTAAATTTTATTAGAAAGAAAGAAAGAAAGAAAGAAAGAAAGAAAGAAAGAAAGAATACATCTGGAAACTCAGTTTATTGCTAGATTTTAAAAGACTAACTACAAGGATTAACCAAGAATAGCTTTCTCGAGGTCCCGCTTAAAGGTTACAAGCAAAACAAAAGCACCTGGGGTTAGCACAGAGGAGTCCACAAGCCATAAAGAAATAAAAAGAAATAAACCTAATCGCGTCTTCCTAGACATTTCCTGATCTACTTACATATCTGCGGTTCAAATCAGTAGTTTCTAGGTATGTTACTGAGGATTTTTCATACCTGGCCCCAAGCTTCTTATAGCATAGCTGCTGCCCTGTCTGCCTCTCCCCAGGAGAACAACAACAAACAGACAAAAGGGACGTTTTTTCTCAATTTTAAAAAGTTCTAGCCTTCCCATTGGCTCTTTTGGCCAGGTGCCCACTCACTTTCTTTTACCTATGCAGAGCAGTGACTTTTAACCCTTTACAGGTAAAGCAAATAGAGAACAGACCAAGAGGGATTTTACAGCTAACTGGCTGGCTGACTGGGTGTCTATAAAAGGGAGCTACAGCCCCCGCCCCCCCTTCATTTATCACAGACTCATTCTTCCTGGGTCATGCTGGTCACTCGGCCCTGCCCACCCTCCGATGCTCCTGAGTCGGAGTGTTCAGCAGCGTTGGCACGAATGCTCCTTCCTCCAAACGCACACTGGGCAGGATTCCCCCTCCCCCCACACTGTCTCCTACTTAGAAGTGTCACTCATCCAATCCTGGAGCAGGAACAATGCCATGTGACCTGCACGACCAATCACACACAGCTAATAGTTCACGTGAAAAGTTTTGCAAAACGATTGTGGGCACCGTTTCTGAATAACGCTCCCGGGGCTGTGGGGCTCTGCGAACGGGAAAGAGGGTGAAATTCACAGCAATTCATTAACCCCAATCCATAGTGCTGTCCCCTGGGGCGAGACGCTGCCTCTGGGCCACACCCAAACCCAGAGCTGTAGGAGATGGAGGTAGGGCCGACTCGTTCAGCACAGAGCGAGCCGGCGTCCCTCTTCCTGAGCTTGTCTCCCCGCTGGCAGCTGGCCAGGGCTCTGTGCTCTCCTTTCTGGCCTTTTGAGGGGGGTGTTGAGGGAAGGGAGGTAACAGCAGTCGCAGGTGGAGAAGCTGTGTGGCCTAGTGGAATTGTAGGGACTATGACTCAGGAGACCTAACTTCTATTCCCAACCCTGCCACTGATCTGCTGGGTGACCTTGGGCAACTCACTTCCCCACTCTGCGCCTCAGTTTCCCCTTCCACCTCTTGTCTATTTAGACTGTGCGCTCCCTGGGGGGGGATTGTCTGCCTGGACACAGCACCTAGCAACAAGGGGCCCTGTTGTGGCGGCATGTGGCACTGGCACTTGGGGAGGCTGATGCGAGCTCCAGAAGCTCCCGCAGTGCTCAGACCATGGCTTCACTCCAAGGCCCGCCCACGCTCGCCCTTCTCCCCTGAGGCCCCACCCATGCCCCATCCACACTCCATCCCAAGACCCGCCCCAAGCCCCACTCCTGCTCAGCCCCCTTCCTGCTCCACCCCACCCTCCCATCACTCAGCATAGCCGTTCGCTCCTTTCCTCTCCTCCTCCTTGGGTGGGCGAGGAAGGGATGTAGTGGGGACAGGAAAAGGTGGAGCAAGGAC